CAATTTGGTCGGGCACCGCAGCGACCGCTTCAGGTTCCTAGTTGAGTAATGATGAACGAGTTAGAGACTTATATGAAAGAATCATGTGGAAGTATGGAAAAGAATTTTGTAGTTACCTGTGATGGTTGAGGAGCAAGTGAAGGAAAAATTGGAGGAGAAGTTTGCCTCTCTGCCGGTTCCTCAGGCCGGCGGATCATCGGCAGTTCCCCCTCTGCAACAATGGGGGTCCGTTGAGGAGCAACTGACGAAAGACTTGGGTTGACCTATAGATAGGGAAATTGAAATTACTGGTGAAGTTGAATAAGTATTTTCTCAAAGGTATTAGGAGCTAATTTACCTCAACCAGCAGAGGGGTTGGTGGTGTAGTGGTCGGTCGCCCGGTTGTCGGAGGGTCTTCCGGCGGACCGACCGGTTGAGTGGTCGGTTGTTCAATGGGTATGTTGGCTGGAGCAGCAGTCGGCTGAACAGCAGTCGGGGCTGCGGTTGACTAAGGAGAAGCTGGAGTAGTAGTCGGTTGAGTTGCGGTCGGCTGGGTTGAGGTCGGCTGAGGAGCGGTTGGAGCAATGGTCGGTGGCAGCAAAGGGGTCTCTGAAATAAGAAATGATAAAGTGAAAAAAGAGCATACATTGAAAAAGACAAACTTGAAGGGATAAGGACTTACCGAATTGCTCTCTCAAGTATTTTTGCAACCCACTTGTGTCAACTGGTAGAGACAGTAGGTACTCCTCGACTGCCTGTCTATCGACGGGAACCGGCTTTTTCCTTCTAGGAGCAGAGGCTGGTCGGGGAGAACCTAGCGCCAATGCTGGGGGCGGGATGAGTTTTCCAACCTACTGGTCAGTTAGGGGAGCAATGAGAGACCAAGTGGCTGACCACCAGGTCGGGAAAGCCTCAGCCGCCAAAGGTTTGAGGCGGAAAGGTAAGTAAGAATGGGAGGTAATGTAGTCGGTAAGTTGGGAAAGATAGGGTGGTATAAGCTTAGGGATCACCAGCCCTTCCAGGCTTTGGGGTATAAGATGAGGTCAGGCAAGTGGTCCCGGCAGGCCCTGACAGCAACCGAATTGTCGGGCCAGAAATTGGGGTTGATAGTTAAAGGTATAAAAAGATCGGTAGTTTTTCTTGTCCGACCTCTTACTGGAAAATAGAGATCGGGGTTTCAAAGCAGAATCCCACGAGAAGGGATAGGTCGGATGGGGAAGAGGATCGGGATAAGATCGGGGATACGGAGTGTCGGGATAAAGCTAAAAAAGGTCGGTGTATACTGTACAACAGTTTCGTAGACGTAATAACGGGAGTTGCTACGGTCCTCAGTCAAAATTTGGGTGATGACGGGGTCGGACGGATGAAGATTAGAGGAGTTAGGAGTTAATCGGGCTAAGGCAAAACCTATCGACTTCTGAGGGTTCGGACTAATAGGCAGTCGGCCAAAAAATGCATTCGGGAAGTATAGGCGAAGCCACAGCTCCAGGAACCAAAATGGTCCCGAGGCAGCTGTGTCCGCCTTTTTGGTGTCGGTTAAGCGGGTGCTCACTCGGGATAAGCCCTCAAAAAGGTTAGCTAAGAATAAGGTACCTAAGGAAAAAAAATTGGCCACTGGCCAGATGAATGACCAGGTCGACCTGAGAAGAAAGGACAAGCTTGGAGGGGGAAAGAATTATATATCTGTGAGGAAAAAAGAAACTTAACTAAATATCAAGCTTCAAGTTTATATGGAAAAGTATAAGGAAAAGAAAGTGTACCTGCATAGCCAAAAAAAAAGGAAAGCTGTGTGTTCCAACTCGGAGACATGAATGTCTTCCTCGCCCAAAAACTTGGTGAGAAGCTTGTCCAACCTCTCTCATTCTCGCCAAGTTTGGCAAGAGCCCAACCCGCGTGGTCGGGCGAAGGCTCCCGACCCCCGAAGGAGACCAGAACGGGATCGTCGCCCACTATGGGTAAGTGGGCGATAATGGCCACGTCCATGAGGGTTGGGCCAATAGGACCACAAGGGAAAAAGAAAACTCTCATCAGTGAATGCCAGAAGGCCGCCATTGCCAATAGGGCCTTGTCATGGAGGTGAAGAGGTTAGGTTGACAGGAGGATGGCCTTATCGATGCTCTGCCTCCTCTATTGTTCTTGGGCAAAATAGCATAAAATCCCTTCGTGGTTTCACAAATTTGCTGAAAACCCCCGCTAGTTTTAAAACTCCAAAAAACCTACTTGTGGTTTGTAAAACGTTGCAAAAAAACCCTCATCCGTTAGAACTTAACGGAGAGTGTATGTTACGCGCCTTAAATGAAAATTTTGGTCCGAAAAATGATAAATTTGTACGTGAAGTTACTAAAATGACCCTATGACTTATTATATGCATTTTTCTCTCACCTAAAATTCAATACAGCTTAGTTCTTCCCCAATGTCTTCTTTTCACCCAATTGTACAGGTTCAAAATTCAGAATATATTCAATTCAAAGAATAAAAAAATTTGAAGTGGATAGATCACGTTCTCAACCAATATTCATAAAAAATGAAGGCACACCAAACTTAGTAAAATCAATAAAGAATTGTGATTTTTCATCTTCTCCCATATTTATCTAATGTGCAGAGAAACAGTGTTAATTTATGTTTCTTTCTCCATTTTTACAGATATTTTTTAGGTTAAATTTTATGAGCAAATAATTCATAATTGGAGAAGAAATTGGTGCGGACGCCTGAAAAAGAATTAGGGAAGAAAAAGTAGATGAAGGAAAAAAAAATATTGGGAGGAAGAAGAAGAAAGGAAAAAAATTGGGGAAAATATACCTGGTGTGTGCGGCTGCGGCTGCGGCTGCGGCAGGTGAAGAAGAATTGAGAAAGAAAATTGGGGAAAAGAAATAAGAGAAAGAATATGGTGTGGCTATGCGGTGTGAAGAAAAATTGGGGAATGAGAAGAAGGAACTCAAACAATTAAGACCCAGAAGAAAGAAAAATGTTTTCCACAAATTGACTAACTGACAAACAACTCTAGCCCATTCCGGCGACCGGTAGCGGCGGCGGTTCTCAGCAACTTCCTTCCTCGACGAACAAACAATGGGTTAATACTTCCGCCGACGATTTTTTCACAGATCTTCTAAAAGAAAATTACAGAAAAATAAGAAGAGAAAGGAATAAGAAAAAGATGGGAGTGGGCGTGGGCATGTGGGAGAAAATGGAAGAAAAAAAGTATGAGAGAGAAAATGGTATAACGGTCCATTATGATAGAATTTAACGTCTATTAGTAGAATTTAGAGGGGAGGGGCGAGTGTGCAACGTTTTACAAACCACAAGTAGGTTTTTTAGAGTTTTAAAACCAGGGGGGTTTTCAGCAACTCTGTGAAACCACAGGGGGATTTTATGCTATTTTGCCTTGTTCTTGAAGATGAGGGAGCTGTCTCGCATGTCATTTACGGTAGGCATCTTTGGAATCAGTGAGGTGAGTCTTGATGCTGTCCAGGAGTCTTTCCGGCTTGAAGGCAACATCATTTATGGCCATTGGAGAAATTTGGGAGATGACGAGTTTCATGCCATCGTCATCTTCGGCAGTGGTGCAATAAGGGCAAATGGTAGGGATGAGAACCTTCGAAGCCACAAAAGGCACTGATGGGTCAGTCCCGTCGAAAGGTAAATCAGGAATGTATTGATTGGTCATTGCGAATGATGTGCAGAAAGCGAAAGAGAAGAAGGTTGGAGGATGTTTGCTAAAGAGGGAATGAAAGATTTTAGGATTCTGAATGCGTGAATATGAAAGGGTAAGAGAAGGGTTTTACATAAACCCCACGATGTAACATAAAACAGTGTAATGATAGCACTGTAACATGCTACAAACCCCTAAACATCAAGTCTCACGCAATCCGAGAAGTAGCTTATCGGGCGGGAGGAGGCAAGTTGTTGAGCGAGAAAAACCAATGTGTAGGGTTTTCGAGGGTGGACTTGTAAATTGGGCCATGGTTTGGTGTATGATTCGATGGGCTTGTCAATTGTATTAAAGTTTTTAAATGGGTTTGGTGTAGGCCCAATGATCAAGGTGTTACTAAGAAATGAGCTTCTTCGAAAGGACCTTTGACTAGGTGATCGGTTGACACGGAGGTCGGACAAAGGGAGGTCGGGCAAAGGAAAATGAGACAATAGGCGTTTAGGTAGGTTGGTGTGGAGGTCGGACAAAGAGAAATCGGACGAAGGAAGATAAGACGGTGGTGTTTAGGCCAGTCGATACGGAGGTCGGACAGGTGGAAGTCGGGCGAAGGAGGACGAGGTGCTGGGTGTTCAGGTCGGTCGGTAAAATGGGGCGGTTGAGTAGCAGTTTTAGAGCGGTTGGGAGAAGTTACAACCGATGAGCGGATGTGGAGGCATGACCTAATAACGACATTGGAGCGGTTGACATGGGTTTTTAAATTGGCATTTTCACGTCCTAGAAAAGACATCTTCAATCGACATCAAGTTTAGTGAAATTTGTTTTTAGGGATCATCTTTACTTTTCTAGTATTTAGTTTTTTTTTTTCTTTTACATTTTTATGTATCGTACGGTATTTAGGGATTCTCAATCTCAAATATCTTTTTAATCAAATTCGAAGATAATTTTTCATTTCGGATTTTACTTTTAAATTGTTGAAAATCAACATCAACAATATGCGATATTTACAAATAATTCGAGCCGAATGGAAATTGAACCGAATATAATTATTAATATAATATTTTAAAATATAATAATATAAATATATTCGGTTTGGTTAACAAAATAAAAAAATATATCAAAAATCGAAATATAACAAATATAAAATATGCAGTATTTTTATTCGAAAAGAATTTGCTCTGTTAATTGAAAATTCGATTCGGTTCGACTGCAATTCCATTCGATTTTTTTGTCCACTCCTTATTTATATAGATTAATTGCGTCATTTAATTGTTATTATTACGTAACAATTAGACTGATCCAAAAATCTCTCTTCATTGTTTCATCACTTTATATTATTTATTTATTATAAAAATATAAAATGCGGACACTTGGATAAAAAATCGGGAGGAAAGAACAAAGAACGAACCAGAAGGGGGCAAAACGATGTCGTCGAGCAATGGCAATTCCACGGCGGCGACGACGCCGTTACTAGGCGACCAGATCTTCCCCACTCGGCCGCGGTTCCTCCGCCGCCCGCCTAGTCTACGCGGCGCGGCGCGTTTCCTCCGGCGGGCGAGCAGCCGAGGGCGCGCGATGCGAGAGCCTTCCGTCCGCGTCCGGGAAGCTGCGGCGGAGCAAATCGAAGAGCGGCAAAGCGATTGGGCTTACTCCAAGCCGATAGTGATCCTGGACCTCGTCTGGAATCTGACCTTCGTGATCGTCTCGATTTCTGTTCTGATCGTGAGCCGCCGGGAAACACCTTCGGTGCCTCTGAGGCTGTGGATTGTTGGATACGCACTGCAGTGTGTTCTTCATATGGTATGCGTTTGCTTCGAGTATAAGAAGAGGTATTACTCGCAGCAGAATTCGGATGATGATGAGAGGGAACCAATTGCTTACAGCCGGAATTTCTCCAATTCGAGCTCCGGCAGTGATGAAATGGACTTCGGCGATTATAGTTCCGAGCACCGGCAAAGTGATGACGAAACCAGGTATGCTACACGCTTCTTGTCTGCACGTTTCTTGTACTCTTTGTTTCCTTTTGTACTTCTAGAATCATAGTGATTATTGAGAATAATTTCTGTCAATATTCTTACATAAGCACGCACGGATTTTGTGTATATGAATTGAGAAATATATAAGATTGCAAGAATCTTTCCAATTTGTGATTCACTGTTTAATTCTATGGTGACTGCCAACTTACAAAATACAATGTTGTGCTGAGAAACTAGAGTTTATTTGCAAATTACAGAGTTAAGCTCTCTGATAACAATAAAAAGGTTTTTAGTATCAAGCTCTGGTGGAGGACAACACTTTGGTATATGTAAAGTACATTTTCGATTGGCTCCGAAAGGGTGTTTAAGTTAACTGGTTTAAAATCCTTGGTGAGAGCCCAGGTTTGAGTCAAACATTTTTTGTTACAAATTTTGCAAACAATATCAAGAAGCTATAAACAATTGTTACAGAGACCCTAGTCATTCTGACGAAAGGCCTAAATCTGCGAAAAGAACCAAAAACTCATGGGATAGTGTTTGTACAGGAATATTTATATGATACAAAATAGAAGTCCTAGATTGGAGAACAATCAGGTCGAAAGAGAAAAACCTGCCCCAATAACATTAATCTATACTGCAGCGTCTATGCCCGCTGCACCCCTCAACTTGGGCCGTTTCAGGACTGTTTATTGTTCAGTTTGGAACTAACGACACAAAAAAGCTCTTTTAATGAGGATCACAAAGTAATAGGAATAATTTCTTGGATAGGAGATTAGGTTGGTATTAGTGACTCTAATATGATAGCAGACGGATAAACTCTACTACAGTTTTTCTAGAACTTTGTTCCCAAACACAATACGATTTGCACAGAGGTCGGCTTGGTCATAACGGCCTGAGAATGAGATAGGTTGGGAACTCAGAGCACCAATTAAGCTTATTCATGGAACTGTGACTGATAGGAGCAATCTTCTGTTCTAAAAGCATGTTCCAGATAATATTGGCTGAGTGAGATTGCTCTTCAATAAGATACACCTCTTCTTCTTAGTCTAATTTACTGTGGAGTTTGTTCCTAAATCAACGTTTGCAGTTTTCTATGATATGCGCTAATGAAAGAATGCATGATTTGAAGATCCATCCTCATCCTCAAACACAATTCCTTGCACTCTTCCTCATTATTAACTTCTTTGATAGATACACAAGTATGCTGTCGAGAGGATCGATAATAAAGATGACATTGTAATTATGTTTTCTATTACAGCGTTGCTAAACATCTGGAATCAGGGAATACTATGTTTTCATTCATTTGGTGGATTGTTGGGTTCTATTGGGTATCTGTTGGTGGTCAGAGTTTGCCGAGCGAATCGCCTCAACTTTATTGGTTTGTCCACAATACATCTACCAACGTTGTTAAAACTGTGATTTGTTTCGATGTATGTAGTATTGTAAATATTGTTTACTTTTGCAGGCTTTGCATTACATTGATGGCGTTTGAGGTGTTCTTTGTTGTTATCTGCATTGCTGTGGCATGTGTTATTGGAATTGCTGTTTGCTGCTGTCTTCCATGCATTATTGCGATATTATATGCAGTGGCTGATCAGGTAGATATCGTCATTGTATCTCGGGTTGTTACCAGTAATCTATGGATATTGCTTATTTAACTGCTTATTTAATACAACCGACAAACCTTCACTGATTGAGAAATGAGGAGTGGAAAAAGATCGTATGCTTAAGAGGGCTTGCTTGGTAGTTCACTTACGTTTTGTACGAAAATGCCAAAGAAAATTAAATGCAGTCTAGATTCGATTGCCTTTGCACTTATTGTTTCCGTTACTGCGATTTCGGATTGTGTTAATATGTTGTGTATGTGTAACCCGACTAATGATATATAGCTAAGCAACACATTTCTTTCGTTGCCTTGGTTCTTATTCACTGATTGGAATCACATTTCAGGAAGGAGCTACTAAAGAGGACATCGAGAGACTACCTAAGTACACATTTCGAAAAATTGGCGACTTTGAGAAGCAAAACGGTGAAATTCAGGAATCCTTCGGAGGCATCATGACTGAATGCGACACCGACTCACCCTCAGAACATGTCCTTCCTATCGATGATGCGGTGTGTACAGTCTGGCTATTTAAATTCTATTCTGCACGCATCTTTATAAATGCATGGATGAAAGCAATTTAGATCACAATATTTCACCGCAGGAATGCTGCATATGCATTTGCGCATACGACGATGGAACAGAGCTACGCCAACTCCCCTGCCGCCATCATTTTCACTTAGCTTGCATAGACAAGTGGCTGCACATAAATGCGACGTGCCCGTTGTGCAAGTTCAATATACTGAAGAACGGCAACCAGAGCAGCAGCGAGGAAGTATGATCGGGGGAGTCGATTTTCGACGAAACTAGCAGCTCAAGAAGATGCAGAGAAAGATGTAATATGTATTGAGATGATGCTGTGCCAATTATATACGTATTTCCTGCCCTGTTTTGAATCACAGTGTGAATTCACAGATGGAGATGAAATAGATGAATTGTTTATACATGTTTTTTCATTAGTGCCCCTTAAGTATGTAATATATACACATTTAGCCATCCATATTTTGACCTTTTCAAATTGAGGATACAGACAGACGAGAGAAATGTAACATGCTGATTCGGTAATCCTGGGAGTTTAACTCCCGGGGATGCATACTCTTTACTTTACTAGCTAGGGAGTCCGGCTCCGGGACTCGCTAAGAAGAGTACCTATACGAAACAGGAATTCCTGTCACAATCCCATGAGTACCGGAACCCTTGCCGTCCACCGGAACTCCCTTCCACGGCTGCTCCGAACACCCTACGGCGGCGGCGCAGGATTTCCCAACGTGTCCCTTCACTTTGACCGACAAATTAATAATTCCATTCTTCTCTCCGTTATCATCCCTCAGCCTGTAACTTAAAAAGCTCAAATGATTCTCCGGGAGGTGGCCGCCGGAGAAGTCGGCGGCGGGAACAGTCGCCGTCCCTATGAGATTTCTGCCGGAATATGCCGCTACCGTGATGTATCGGACGTTAATTGGGAGGTCCATCTCCAGCTTCTGGTTCCATCTCGGGTTGCTCCCTCCGTCCTTATCCGCCGCCGTCAATCGACAATCGTACGGATCAGATCGAACCGCCACGAAAAGGTTCTTCTTCTTCCCCGGCGGCTTCCGGTTCACCAATAAACCCTCCGCCGATATAACGGTAACCTCAATCGATAATTTCGAATTTATCGCCCTTTCCATGCTACTTAGAATTTGAAAAACACTTATTGCACACGAAATTATATGGATTCAATGACTAAATTGATTTTTTAGGGTTTCATCAGTTCTGTCACAAAATGAAAGTAATCCTCGGATATATATATATGTGTGTGTGTGTGTATTGTGCAGGAAGAAGGAAGGACTGAGGAAGAAGAAAGGTACTTTCTAGGAATTGAATTTGGATTGGAATATGGTAAAAGAATTAAAGAGATGGTGCAGTGCAGTTTCCCAGTGATTTTGTGCACAGAATTTTCTGCATAACTAACTCGTAATTCAATTTTGGTGTGTGGTTTCCTCTTCGTCGACTTGTAATATTATTAAATTAATTAATTAATATTTGCGGGTTGACCCTTCGGTTTTACAGCGTTTTGGCGAGGAGACCGGGAGTTGGAGAACAGGATGAATATCCACCGCTGGTAGCATTTCAGCGGCGAGGATGCACCTGGACCTGCAGTTTGGCCGTGTGGGTTTAGATAGTGGATAAGGTCAAAGGGCAGGTTCAACTGCTTTCGCGTATTTTATGGTTGTTTTTACGCTTATTTCTATATTCCATTTATACATACTGACGTACACTCTGTCTTGAGTACTTTATATTATTGTTTTTAATGGTATAATATACAAAATAAAAGATTTTAAATAATTATATAAGATTTTCTTTCCTAGTTTATTTGATAATTTTGTAATTTTATAATGATAATTCTATGTATAAATATTTGAAATAATTTAATATTTGCTCCGTCTATTTAGAAATAAATATTTAATCTTAATTATTTTTATTAAATTATAATTATTTTTATTAATATATTTTGTAATTAAATTATACAATATTTAAAATTTTGTATCTAAATTAAATGGGACAAAATAGGTGAGATGAAGGAAGTAGTATTTATGTCAACTAATGTTAATTTAGATTAAAAAAAAAAAAAATTGACTTATTTTTAAATGAAAAACGAGTAATTTGATCATTTTAGTTTAAGAAATCATTTATTTATAAATTTTTTTTTTTTCCGTAACTTGGGGATTTTACCATTTAAAAGAATTTCATAACTCATTAATGATAAACTTTATCTTATATATCACATGTATTTTATCTCATATTATATATTTCATCAATTCCTTAACAAATTTTCTATTTTGGTCTGTTTCTTTAGTAATTGTACTTTCTACTCATATTAAAAATATCCTTACAACTTATAATATATTACAAAAATGTCATTACTTTTATATCACACAATACTAATAAGGTTATTTTAGTATTTTCTACTTTATTCATACCACATCTTAATATAATAATAATATTTTTAAAATTACATGAAAAAAACAAACAAACATATAGATAGATAAGAAACGGAGTGCGGATAAATTTAAGAATTGAATCTTATTTTCTCAAATTTTTAATTTAGTATATATATACATACACACGTATAGACATATATATATCTATTATATACATATATATTTTTGTCTTCAACCTCATTTCTATTTTCTCTTTTATTTGTATATGTTATATTGTGTTTGTTTTATCTTAAAGCAAAAAAATAGAGAACAAATGAAAATAAGGTCGATCATGGAAAAAAAATTAAATCAAATTCGAAGAATAATAATGGAAAAAAAAACGGATGATAAAAAATTAAATTTATTAATCTAATTTAATTTTTTAAATTTTTAAAATGCATCTTTTGGTATGACCTTATAAAAATATATATTTGAGTATGTGTATATTATCTCAAACTGACAAATGCAGCGCACTCGACGCCGTAATCCTGGCTCTTCTCAGTCCCCTCATGAGGAGAATCAACCTGATGCAAATCTTAAAGGATCACGATTTTCTATACCAGAAGAAGAGGATTCGATTAGATATGGCCAAGAACTAGATAATACCTCTATGGAGATCAACAAAAAGACCCATATTGCAACCAAATACCTTGTACCGCCCCAGGCAGGATCCTCGGTCCCAGACTTTGACCCGGTACATACACACGCATGTATGTATATACATGTACGTGTGTGGGCACTCTCTGTGCCCGGGACCGAGGATCCTTGCGGTACCGCCCAAGCCTCTCACCCCCCAAGCACCAGTAACCACCAATCAGCAAACCAATGTAATCAAAGATCTTGTGGTGGTCGACAAACCGCTGCTACCTCATGCAAGGGCAGTTGTTCATTCGAATGAGCCTCTCCCAAATACACTACCCCCTATTTTTAAACGTAAGCATAATGAAGTTGGACAACCCTCTTTCCCAGATTAGTGAGCTCCCCTCAATCTCCAAAAAACAACAAACCCCATTACTCTTAGATCAGCAATCTGCTCCTATCCTCAACCCTAACCCAAGACCTGCAGATGGGGATTATGCTCTTGAAAACTCACTCTTCTCAGGAACTCTAACAAAGCCCCCAAATAAGGACTCTTCTGAGCTTTGTCCGCTTGTTATCTCGGAATCCTCTGCGGTCAATTCAGATTTTGGGGATACATCTAGTTAATCCCGTCTTCTATATCTTCACGGTGTTAACAAATTTTTGGAATTTCAAAATTGTTTCTTGGAATGTTCGTGGTATTGGTAATGCTCCCACTCGTGGCCATGCAAACCTTCTTCTCCGTGATCATAAACCGGACATTATTATTCTTATGGAACCTCAGGTCCCCTTCGAGCTACTTGAATTTTTCTTCTTAGCCCGAAATTATGAGAAAGTCTTCATCATCCCTGCAGATGGTCGAACCGGCAGGGCAGACGGCCTCTGGATGTTAAGGAGAGAAGGAACAACCTTCTCTTACTCTATTTTCAGCACTTCAGACAGAACTATCACTTGTATTCTATCCTTGCTCTTGAAGAAGTATCAAGGGGTCACTTCTATGCAAACCATGCTGCCCAGCTTGTAGATTGCCTACTTTTCAGCGGTCTATCAACTATACATACCAAAGGACTGTTCTTCACATGGCACCGAAGAGAGGTAAACCTTACAACCATGCTTAAAAGATTGGACAGGGCTGTCTCTAATTCAGAATGGATCATGGCTTTTCCAGATGGTGAAGTTGAAGTTTTACCCCGATACAGAAGTGATCATTCACTACTTATTATTAGATGTTCAGCCAACCTCCCAAACTCCGTCAACCACCATTTTAGATGGGAAGCTGCATTGACTCACCATGAAGAATATAACACCAGGATTACCCGTGCTTGGCAACAAGAAAATGGTAGACTGAAAGATGCATTGGACAACATCAAACATGCCAGCACAATGTTGAAAAGGCAGTTTATAGAAACCTTAAAGAGCCGCAAAAACAGGTTGCTTCGGAGAATTGTGGTCCTCCAACGTGTGTTGCAAGAGGTCGACTCTATACGTCTTCATAACCTTGAAGTTGATCTCTTATGTGAGTATGAAAAAATTCTTAGGGAGGAAGAAACTATTAGATACTGTTATACTCTCTCCATCCCGGCTAATTTGTCCCATTTGAATTAGGCACGGAGTTTTAGTTATTTTGTAATTAGAGAGTAATTAAGAAGTGTATTAGTAAAAATAATTATGATTTCATAAAAATAATTTTAGATTAAGATTAAGATGGCTAAATAGTTTAATTAAAATAAAAAAAATTGTAAATTATGAATTTTAAAATGTGATTAAAGTGTATAATTATATTTCCAAAAAAGAAAAGGGCAAATTGTATAAGTGAAAATAAGGTTGTGTTGGGTTTGGATTCCTTCTATGTGTGGAGGCCCAACAATTCAAGTTAGCCCAAAAAGAATTGAGAATCCACTTTTGCCAATTGTTGCCCTGTCCGTCATAGCTGGAAGAGGGATCATTGGGGTGCAGGGTTTTGAGAGAAACAATCGCTATCCACGCAAGCGAGAGAATCGGCAAGCAAGAGAGAATTTCTTCAACTCCGTTCCGATCACGGTCTCGTCATCTTCGGATGTTTCTTTTGGTATCGTTGATTTCTCCTTATTTGTTTGGATTCGATTTTGAATCTTATTGGTTGGGGATTGGAATAGGTTGTTAGTAGTTGGGAGATCTCTTGTGATTGAGGTTCGATTCTTATATTTGGATGTGGAGTTTGATAGCCCTTTTGGTTGTGGTTATCTTTGATTGTACAAACCTTTTTATGATATAGTGGATTTTGCCTTGGGTCGGGTGATAGACCTCGTGGTTTTTATCCTTCACTTTGAAGGAGTTTTCCACGTTAAAATTTTTGGTGTCTCATATTGTTATTTCCATTGTTTATTGGTGGTTATCGTTCATCGTATTTTGGTAGAAAGAATAATTGATTGAAGGGAAAGGTTTGGGTGAAACAGTTCGAACACCCTGCTTAGGCGTGACCAGGCTTAAGGAGTACTTCGCATCTGATTTTTTGTTTCCATTTGGTCTTCTTCCGGTATTCTCCCAACATAAAGTGGTATCAGAGCAAAGTTGTTTGGGAGTGTTACTTACCATTGAAAGATAGATGTGAACTTGGGAAGAATGATTTGCTTAGAAGGAACAAACTATCATGTTTTGAAACGGAAGATAACTGATCTTCTATATGTGAAGAAGTTACACTGGCCAGTGTTTTCTGCGGCAAAGCCTGATGTTGAAACTAGTGATGCAGATTGGGAATTGGAGCATCGACAAGTATGTGGTTTCATAACGCAATGGGTAGAGGACGATGTTTTGAATCACATTGTGAATGAGACCAATGCCAAAACATTGTGGGACAAGTTGGAAAGCTTATATGCTTCGAAGACTGGCAACAATAAGTTGTTTTTACTCAAGCAGGCTATGCGATTGAGTTATCATGAGAGCAAGTCCATTTCCGATCACATAAATGAGTTTCAAGGATGTTTCGATCAGCTGTCAGGAATGTGAGTGAAGTTTGATGATGAGGTACTTGGTTTGTGGCTACTTAATATTTTCCAGATTCATGGGAAGGTTTCAGAGTCTCTTTGCCTAATTCTGCGCCCGATGGGATAGTCACTTTGGAGTTTATCAAAAGTGTCATTTTGAATAAAGAGGTGAGGAGGAAGACTCTTGGCACTTCATCTTCTCATTCGGAGATCCTAGTTACGAATAATAGGGGGAGAAGTTGTAATATAGGCCGAGATCATGGGAATCGAGAAAAGAGTTGAGGAAGAAGTAAGTCAAAGCCCAAATACAAAGACTTTGAATGTCATTATTGTGGCAAACGGGGACACATCAAAAGGTATTGTTTCAAGTTGAAAAATGAGCAGAAAGGCAAAGACAGCAAGTATGAGCAGAAAGATGATGATAAGAGCAATGA